TATTGATTAAATTCAAGTTCCAAAAAATGTTTCATCTTCTTTTAACTGTTTTGGATATATATACATGCATAGTGGACGAGGAAAATACAAAATGTAGAGGAGAATGCTCGAAATACTTTTACTTGTAGGGGAATCTCATTCACCATGCTTAAGTAGAGAGTGATGCAGTAGAAATCATTACAAAAACAACAGAGGATAGAGTAATTATACTCAGTGCGACAAATGGTATGGTTGCTTTCATAGGTGGTGTTGCATCTAATATCTCATTTTAAGCTTGAGGTTGAGGTTTACTCTTCATGAATCTTACTCCCATCCTAGGACGCGAGCTCGAGAGAGGGAGCAGTAGCATCACTAAGAGGCAGTAAGATTGAGATAGTTGTTGAGGTGGTGCGACGGTGGAGCAATACCACAGTAGAAGACACATGAATCTAACTTTTATTAATTTTTATATTTTTTCATACTTTACAATAAAACTATAAAATTTCACGTGCATTGCACATGTGTCTTACTAGTATATTAAAAATTCTTAATTAAGTCATTTCATAAAAAAATATGTAAAATTTTGTTAACAAAAAATTAATGTGTCATTGAATTATTGTTTTATTAATATATTTGGATATGTATGCATGCATTTTAGTGATTGGCAGGTTGAATTTTGTAAATAAATCGGTTGAGTTTCATGTATTAAGTAACGTTCAAGTGATATGTCCACGTTTAAGTGATATGTCCATCTTTAAAGAATGTTAATAAAACAATAATTTAATGATAAATTTACTTTTCTTACCAAATTCTTCATGGAAGTACATAATTGAGATCCTTAATAGATTAAACGTAAAATTGAGTGTTTTAAAAGATAAAAAGGACTAATTTGAAACCTACCTAAAAGATCTAGAGCCATTTGGGAGATTTAGCCATTAGTTTTTTTTTTTTTTAATTTAATGTATATTATATCTTTTTGGGGCTAAATATACGTTTGATTACTGAGGTTTGAGTTGGAGGTTTCTAATTGATTCATGTAGTTTTAAACTGGACACTTCTAATTCTTCATGTTTAACAATTATTCTAAATGAGTTAAAAGATGATGGTTAGTTATGTAGTAGAAATTGCTTACTGCAAGTGTACGGATAAAGTTTTAAGAAAAATAGTAAGTAAATACTGATATCATCTATTGGATTGGGTTCTAGTCTACTCAAGTAGTATTGTTAGGATCCCATATTGAATAGAAAAAAAGGACCTAATAATGCTTTATAATAGATATGAGCTACTCCTCTCATAACCAATTAGTTTTGAGATGGAATCACATGAATATTGATAAGCATAAGTGAAGCAAATAAATTAAAAACAAATCAATCAAAGATAATCTGTTTAGCTACTCAAGTTCATAAAAATATAACAAAATCTCAATAAGAGTCCCATGACAAAACTAGAAAAGTTAAGGGAAATGACAGAAACTAAATTTGTCGTTGATTGGTATTTCTCTCTCAAACTGGTGATAAAACTCCAATTCTCCAAAAAAGAAACTCCCCTCAACGGCGGCCAAACTATGTATTATAACACTCATCTCAACGTTGTACCCTAAATAGGCCAAAAATCCAAGTTAGAGGGTTGAAAAAACAAGAAATAGTTATAAAACATATTTTTGTTTGTGTTTTTTTTTTTCCTTCTAGGAATAAGATACAGTTATCAAATGTGTATTTATATTTCTACAATTGAAAAACTAGAAACGAAAATTCAAGTAAACAGAAAACAAGAAATATAAGACAAAAAACGAAAATGTTACCAAATGAAGTGTAATCTATTAAACGGAGAATATAACACTAACAAAGGAAGCAACTCGTTTATCCAAAATTTTCATTATATATTAAAAAAGTTTAAATAAATTTGTGTACTCCTTAAAGCTCATGTGAACTATTGTCTTAAAAGAGACGAATTATTTGTCAGTTCAGACCAAGGTTCAAAATTTCGATGTCAATGGAAATGTCGAGATCCTGATTTTACTGACATGTCGATGTCGAGGGATATTTCAGAAAAATCATGGAAATTGTAGATAATGATGCAATTTTTTTTTGAATTAGTAAATAAAACTTTAATTGTAGCTTAATGAGACTATAATTGATCGATTTTAACCATCATATCTAAATATACAAGTAATATACTTATAGAAATGTCGTCGCGATGAAAATGTCGAAACAAAATCGTGTATACATACATGGAAATGAATTAGTAAATTAAAGTTTAATGTTGCTTGATAAGAGGGGAAAAGACTTTTCCCCACTCCTTTGTCGATGTCAACCCCCTCGACACATCGACATGTCAAGCGGTATGTTAATGTGTCAATATACTTTTAGTACCCTAGTCTAGACTAGAAGATTTCTCAAATAATTAAACTTTAAAACTACAATAAATAAATAAATAAAATGTATATATCATATCAAGATATTAAATTTTCATCTCGATGTCAATATTTCATCCATATTTCAGTACGTCATAAGTTCGACATTGACATAAACAAGTGAGTTAAAATTTCTGCTATACCGTGAAAAAAAATCAACTAAATACAAAAGAGCATCAATAAAATATCATTAATGAAAGTGAAATGCTATTTTTTTCTTGGTCCAAGTACTTCTGCCCTAGTTGATTTTGGTTCATATATTTTCAAAAAATCTATTTTAGTCTCGCTACAATAATTTTCTTTTTTGGTGACGAAATTTTTCGTCACTAAAAGTTTCGTATATTTTGAAATTTTTTATTCAAATTTTTTGGCGACGAATTAATTCGTAGCCATAACTTTTGATTAAAATTTAGATTTTTTTATTCAAAACTTGTAGCGAGGAAAGTTGAAATTCGTCGCCATAAGGTATTTTGACGACAAAACTTAAATTCATCGCCAAAGGTTTTGAGAAATTGGGGGAATTTTACCGCGCAATTTTTTTGACTGTTAAATTAATTTTTTTTATTAAACAATTTTGGCAATAAAACTTGTAATTCGTCGCTATAAGAAGCGTAGTTTGGCGATGAAACTTAATTTCGTCACCAAAAGTTTGGAGAAATGGGGGAATTTTACCATTCATTTTTTTTTTTGTCAAACTTAAGGCGACGAAATTAAGGGTTTTTGCGACGAATTTTTATTTGGTCCATAGACCACGGTTTAACCTAACCCTCCTCATTTTTCTTCCATTTTTACGTTTTCTTCCTCCAACCCTACCTCTGTAACCCCTCCCTTCGCCGCTTGCGTCCCCACTGCTTCCTCTCCCTCCCTCCCTCCATTGCCTCTGCCCTCACCTTTCCCTCCTTCCACCTTCACTGCTCTCTCTCACTCCCTCCATCGGTCGTGGATGTATCTCCTCTTCGTCGTTCTCGTCCCTCGCCACCAATCTTCTTCTTCTTTTCCTTTTGAGGTATAATCTCTATTTGTTTTGTTGTTATTTTTTTAAAGTAATCTGAGTATATATCTCGAAATCATAGGATACCACCGCTGTGCTGTCGCCGCTGCTTCTCTCTACCGTGTCTCTCTGCTATTCTTCCTCGATAAATTTCCAAAACTTTTTGTCTCTCTTTCTCTATGTTGTTACCGGCTCAAAATCAAATTAATGTTACTTTTAAACTAGTTAGTTATTCATTTTGTAATTCAATAAATGTTTGTTGTAATCTCTTTTATCTTGTACATATCTTAAGTTTCCATGTCTTTAATTCTATTTTTTTTATGTCTTTAGTTCATTTTCTTATTTTGTGATGATAAAATAATTGGTTAATAGGTTTTGTATTGAGAAATTGATTTTGTGTTGTTTGTGCTGTAGATTTTTGTTTTGATAAATTCTTGAGGAACGACTTAGCCAGTTTGTCTTCTTTTAGAAACATTTTCTGTCATTCGAGGTCTTAAAATTCTTTTAGACATACTTAAACTACTTTTGTGCATAAAATTCTAGTTTTGAGATTATTTAGGAGTACTAGAAGAAGCTTATTTTACATTTGATCACATTCTTGCAATTAAATATTATTTTAGCTTATTTAAGTTCAATTGAGTTAGGTGGTGTGTTTTGAGATCATTTTTGGCATATTTGGCACCACTTGGGACTACTTAAATCTATCCTAAACTAATTTTTGGTTTACTTTACCCTCGCTTTGTCTGCTTCAAGTTAATACGTTTTGTTCTATTCATGAAGTTCATTTATAATATTGTAGAATAAGTTAGGTAAACTAATTCTTTATTGTCACTCTATGTTCAGATAAGTTTATTTTTTTGGGAAAAAATCTCAGTTAACTAGAGCTAGTATATCAGGGTTAAAGTATTTCAATTGAGATGATTAAAACCCAATCCTATCAGCTCAGTTGGATCACATCTCCTCGTTGTACTTTTACGATGTGGGACAACTTCTAGCACATGAGATCATCTATTCTTCAAATGTGGGACAACTTCAATTCGAATATTTTGCCAAAACCCAACAGTTTTACGGGGAGCCAAGGAGATGAAGTTTTCTAGATTAGGTTTAGATTTACTTTATAATCGAAATTTAGCTTCTGTCGTATTTGATTTTTTATACTAGACCGATTATAAATATTAAAAATTGGACACTACAAAGTTCATCTACTGGCTCTAAATTTTAAGATTGGATTCTTTGTTAAGAAACTTATTATTTAAAATCCTAGTCAAAGATATTTAGTTTACACCATATAAATATTCACTCCTCATCTATATTAAAACTCGACAAAGTGTACACATTTATTCAAATAATAAAAGAAGAGAGGTTGGATTATATGATATGACATTGACATATATATATCTTATATTGGAGAGGTGAAGGGAAATAGAAGAGAAGGGAATGGAAATTCGGTTGGTTAAATGGTAATTTCCGGACCCAACAAACTTGTAAATCGTTCCCGCCATGTCACCAACGAAATTGGGCGCGTGAATCTCGGCCTCACTCCCATCCCATTTCATCTCCACCGATTGGGCTTTATATAAAACACGCCCTCTCTCTTCTCAATCCCTCCGTTTTTCCCCCAATTCTCTCCCTCCCAGGTTCGTGATCTTCGTCTTCCAATTCCAGTTCTCTGTTCTTCTTCTGATCATCTCTCTTCTTCTTGTTGTTGTTGATTCTGATTCTGATTGCGCGATTGGTGTGTGTATATGGAGTGATTTGTTGATCAAATTGATTGGTTGGTTTTGGATTCATCTAGGTAGGTTTCCGGAATTAAAGGGATTTGGTTAGATTCATGGCGGATTCGCCATTGAAGCCGCCGGTATCGCTCCAGAAGCCGCCGGGATACAAGGATCCGAGCGCGTCCTCAGGTCCGGGGAAGGGCGGGAGGAAGGCGCGGCTGCCGACGTCGTACCAGCCGAAGAAGAAGCGGAGGAACTGCTGCCGGACCTGCTGCTGCGTGCTCTGCTTCCTGATCCTGTTCCTGATCGTGGTCGCAGCGCTGGCCTCCGCGCTGTTCTACCTTCTCTTCGACCCGAAGCTGCCGGTGTTCCACCTGATCTCCTTCCGGATCTCGGATTTCAAGGTGTCGCCCAAGGCGGACGGCTCGTACCTGGACGCGGAGGCCTCCATCCGCGTGGAGTTCAAGAATCCCAACGACAAGCTCGGGATCGTGTACGGGAGGATCGAGTACGACGTGACGGTGGGGGAGATGACGGAGTTCGGGCGGCGGTCGATCCCGGGGTTCACGCAGGGGCGGAGGAACTCGACGACGGTGAAGGCGGAGACGGGGGTGAAGAGTAAGCTGCTGGCGGTGGATGACGGGGGGAAGATGTCGTCGTGGTTCCAGAGCAAGACGCTGCCGGTCAAGGTGGAGGCCGACACGGCGGTGGGCCTCGTCGTGCAGGGCTGGTCCATTGGCCCTCTCGCCGTCAGATTGGATTGCGAGTCCAGATTGAAGAGCGTTGAGGCTGGTGACATGCCCGATTGCAACATTCATTTCCTCAGATGGTACCTCTCTATCCTCACCCGCCCTTTCTTTTCCTCAAAATCTTTAGTACTAATAGGTTTATATTATATCGTATTTTGATCCGGTACTCTCTTGGTTGGTATTGGATTTTTACAAGAGAGTGCAAATAAAAGTCCATACCTATGATATAATGATAGGACAATTATCTACAAGGTTTTTGGTAATAAAAAATAGAGTCATGAAGTTATACTATCTTGTTTTAATCATAGTTACATAAAATTACATAATTACACAAGTTAAACCCACAAGATACTACATAGGATTATACAATTGAAAAACATCCTCACTAAATCTAACCCACCATATAGGGACTACTTGCACAAGTCCCTTTCTTTACAAATAAAAACAAAACAAAAGTATCATAATCTTCATAAGAATGCTACACTATCATGCCATCACGAAGGTATTATTGGAGTATCGTTATCCTTTAACCGTTAGAAAGAGACCAAATTAACTCTATAATAATCTAAAGTGGCCTAAACAAAATTATAAAATTTAAGTACTTTCGGGTCAGGGGATTCGAACTCATGAACTCTTGAAAAGAGACACCTGGTAAAATTATAAAATTTAAGCACATTTGATAATGACTATATTTTCTATTAAAAAAAATGAGTTATTTACTACTTATTTATTCGTATATCATCTTTCTAAACATTACCTTGCTTATAAAAATACTTGACCTAACTTTCTTCCATTATAATTCAAATTTCTCGAATATTTTCCTATTTACATATATATAAAGTATTCTTTGTTTTTGAATATTATTTGCATATATATAAAGTTAAAGATGAATTACAAAGAATGTGGTGATTTATTTATTTATTTGCAATTTATTCTTAATTGATATAAGATCTTAACTAATTAATTATATGAACATGTGTTTTGTTGTAATTAGTGGGTTTTTGTTTTGGTGTTTGATTGCAGGATCACTATACGTGGATGAGATTCCTCCAAAGACAATTATATCCCTATTGAAAATGATAATCATTTTCTCTCTCTTTTTTCTTTTATTATTTTCTTTTGTTTGTTTATTTGGGTGAGATTTTTTTCACAACTCCCTTTTTCTTTTTTTCTCCCAAAATTATTTTTATTAATTAATACTATTTTAGAGAGTTCAAATAATTTGACCAAGTACATCATTTCGATAAGCTATTTAAATTCTCTATAATTATATTTTTCACGTGTGAAATATAATAAGAAAGAAAAAAAAAAGAAATTCCATTTGTATTGATGTAACGGGTGTTTATATGTTTTAAATTTGGATTATGTAATTATATACGTAAAGACAATGTAATTTGATTTTGGAAAGAAATTTGTTTGTTTTATTTGTTTAAAAGAAAAAGAAAAAAGAGGTGAGGGGTATGATATCTTCACCTCGACGTGGGACCTCAAGGGTGACAGACAAGGAAATCAAGAGAGACCATTTGGATTTTGGTGGGTGATGTAATGTCTCCTCTTCCTTTTGGATAATGTCTATGAAAACTTGCTTTTAATCTTTGAATATCTATTTTAGTCTTTTCCTTTGTTAGTATGTTCAATTAATGATGTTCCTTCATTGTTAAATAGGTAGCAAAAAAGAAATCTAATTATAAGGTAGAAATGAAGATTTCTTGTGTGTGGTACATTGATGTTGATGTTCTTCCAATAATAACAAGTTTGGCCATAATAATAGTAAGTGATATATATGCATATTAGTGATGTACTTTATATTAGGTCTACTTCTGATATACTTTAGCAATGAAGCAACAAAGCAACAAAGTTTATCAGTGATATACTTTATATTAGTATATCTGTCACATAAATGGTATGTTAGTGATATTATATATAAAATTTTAGAGAAATTAGACTAAATAACATAAAATAAATAAGTATTTGTAAAAATATCGTTGTTTCTAGTTTTTTTTTTTCGTTTTTAAACGAGCACCGTGGAAATACATCCCACTCAACCATCAAATTGCTAATCCAGTCCCTTGTATCATGGTTTCGAATCCCTAGGTCACAAAAGTGGTTTTTTGATTGGCTCATGTAATTGTACAAGTTTGCCGTTTATGTCATTTTTGTAAAATTTTAAACCTATACTATATATAAAAGTACATATTACTTTTGTACTATTTTTGTAATTTCTTCTAAAATTTTATATTAGGTATACCAGTTACATTCTTTATAAACCATTAAAAAAAATTATATTTCAGTAATATATGAAGAAAATTTATTGTATTTGCAAACTAATTTTCGTGCGTGACAAATTTGTAAATATGACAACCAATTTTTGTCATCCATTTTATAATTGTTAAAGGCCTAAAATATATTTTTATATTACTCATATACCAAAATTGATACTTTACCTATCATCAACAAATTTTAAACTCCATGAATTAAATTGTTACTTACTATAGTTTAGAGAGTAAATTATTACACATTTTAAACTATATATTTAGACTAAATTGTTACATAATAAAATTTAGAGATTAGATTTTTACTTTCGAAACCATATAAAGTTTATTTTAATCATTGAATTTTCATGATTTATTTAAGTTTGGTTTCTAACTTTCAAATATTTTGTTTTAGTCGCTTATAATTTTGTATATAATTTTTTTAGTTCAACAAAGAAGTAGGGGAGTCAAACTTTGGACTTGTAAGGCAATAAGTATTGTCTTATCCATTTGAACTATACGATAATTTATTTATTATATTTGCAATTCCAACCGGTGCAAGCTCGTATCCAGGACTTTAAAAGTTTAACTCTTATAATTAGCATTCCTTTCTTTTTAACTTCTCACTCGATCTTCTAACTTAGGATTATAAGACTTGTTCCTACTATATGAGCCGTATTTAAAAATATTTTTTCAAATAATTCCTCTGACTTTTGCATTAACTAATTGAGCTATTCTCAAGTTGATAAAAAGAGAAATTTCTAAAATCGAAACAATCATCAAAAGGGAGTAAAAATGTTTCGTCTATAGAAATATAATTAGGCAACAATGACACCATGCTATAATAGGGGCTAACGATCTTATTATCAAATAAAACAATTGAGCCATCAAAATTTTAGATATATATCTATACAAAGTATTTCTTAGAAATAATAAACATTTGCATTGAAGATAAATGTATTTCTTTAAAGTTTAAACACGTTAGATATATAAATTGATTGAAAAAAAAAAAACGAGCAAAGTAAAGCAAGTAAGCAAACAGGAGAAGAAATGAATATAAATATATAAAACACCATTTTTTTTTATGTTGGTGTTGAGGAGTGGCGGATCCAAAAATTTTGTTGAGGGAACTTTATATTAATTTTTAAGTAAGTAATTCACAAATTTATAAAAGTATGATTGTGAGGCTGATAAGATTATTTTTAAATATGCTCTACAAATTTAATTTCAAATATTGCATTTGTAATTAACTATTATATCTACCAAAACTATAATTAATTTTCTTCATTCGAAGGAGGATGATTATTTAGATTCCAAATTAAATTTATAAGAACATTAATAAAAGAAAAATTATACTATAAAATAAAAATGATAATAATTATATGTATAGTTGAAACACGACAATTTTATATTCTAGTCTAAGTTTTTACTAACTATTATATTTAAAATAACTTTAAATAGTCAAATTTATAGTCTATATTATGTAAAGTAATTAATAAAAAAAAGTACCTTAATAATTAATTCCCAAATTGTCATTTTCTTTAGATTCTCGAAAATTGAAATTGAAAATCTTTTGATGGCTCAATTATTTTATTTGATAATAAGATTTTTCACTAAATTAAGTCATGAGGGTTATTGGAAGATTCAAATACATTTACAAATCACTAGTAACACCTATTATATAGCGTGGTGTCATTGTTGAACTTTTAACTCACAAGCAAGGACAAAACAGAACAAATAAAAGCTGAATGTAATGAATAAGAGCAGCCGAAGACTAAACACAGTAGTTGAAACCAAAGTAAGAGCAAAAATTAAAACAGAGAGATAGGGAAAGAGATGGACAAACGGATTTGTAGTGGTTCCATCCAAGTATGATCTACATCCACTTTCTTCGGGCCATCCACTATTACTATAAGTGAGAAATACAACAGCATCAAGAGAAAATGAAGCAACACTCAAAGAAACCGGTGTCTCAAAAACCCATCTCAAAACCAAAGAAATTACAGCTGCTCTTCTTCTTCAATAACCTCACCACCCAGCTTCCTTCTTGAACAAGAAGCTAACAAACCTAGAGACGAAGACAACCCCTCGCTCTATTATAGAAAAATGCTCACCCAAATCACTCTCTCCTTTTTTTCAGTAGCACACACAGCAGAAGAAATAAGGCAGGAGGTGTAACTAATTTTCTGGATAATGACCCGAGAAAAAAGACCCGCTTGAAACCCCGCTTTAAAAGCCTCTTTAAAAGCATCTGTCACAACCATATATTCTGACTCTGTTGTTGATAGTGATACAACTGATTGCAATGAAGATTTTCAACTGATTGTACTATTTCCCAAATATGTGAACACTAGCCTAGTCAAAGATCTTCTTGTGTCTCTGTCTGAAGCATAATCTGCATCGACAAATCCCACTAATTTCCCCTGTATTGACATCTGATTTGTGTATAAAATATCCTTCATGACTGTTCCATCCCTTCACATACCTTATTATCCATTTTATGGCAGCCTAATGTTCTTTCCTCGGATTGGACGTATATCGGCTGACAACACTAAGAGCATGAGCTAGATCCGGTCTTGTACATAACATAAGATACATAAGACTTCCTCCGACGTTTGCATAAGGAATAAAACTCATCTCTTTTTCTTCTTCTGGTGTTTGAGGTGATTGACTTGCACATAACTTAAATGATTTGCTAAGGGAGTACTTACTGATTTACAATTCAGCATTCTGAATTTATCAAGCATTTTCAAAGAGTATAGGTGTTGAGAAAGGAATATAGTCCCATTTTTCTTATCCCTTTTTATGTCTATCCCCAATATTCTTTTGGCTTCACCTAATTCTTTCCTTTCAAATTCTCCCTTCAAACTATCTTTAAGTTAAGCTAATTCAATTTCATCACTGCAAGCAAGAAACATGTCATCTACATACAAGAGAAGATATATGGAAGGCTTATCTTTGGTATGTTTGAAGTATACACAATGATCTAACATGCTCCTAGTAAAGCCACAAGATAACATATAAATGAATCAAACTTTAAGTACCATTGTCTAGGAGCTTGTTTCAAGCCATCTGTACATTCCTTGACAAATCCAGTCGATTGTTGCATGTAGATGACTTCTGATAGGTCTCCATGAAGGAATGTTGTCTTAACATCTAGTTGCTCCAATTCTAAATCACAGGCAGCTACTATTGACAATAGAACTCGAATGGAGGAATGCCTAACAACCAGTGAAAATATCTCCCGTGATCTACTCCTTTTTGAGTAAAGCCCTTTGCAACCAATCTAGTTTTATACCGAATTGGTTATAATGTATCAACATCGTGTTTTAACTCAAATATCCATTTACATCCAAATAGCTTTTGGTTAGGCGGATTTTCAACTAATTCCCACGTACCATTTTTCTGAAGCGAGTTCATCTCTTCTTGCGTAGCAGATTTCTTTTTTCTTTCACTCAGAGTTCACACCTTCTTGGTATGTTAAAGGTTCATCTCCAGCTTGATCAATCTCCAGATGGCATGGAGAATGAGTGAAAAGTCGTGAAACGTTGGTGAGTGGGGAGACATTTTTTTTAAATTATTGTTTTTTTAACCGGGTTCAAGTTTTAACCGACCCAAAATTGAACCAATTGTACAACTCGACATTACTTGTACACATGGATATATGCCACCTCAGATTTCTGTTAAATCTAACCAATTTTTTAACGGTAGGGACTAAATTGTTACCATTTTAAAGTACATGGACTAAATCGTTACTTTTGAAAATTCAGAGACCAAATCGTTACTTTCACCAAAGTTCGAGGACCAAATGTGTTTTTTAACCTTTCTTTTTTAATTAAATAACCTATTCAGTACTT